CATTTTCGCGATCGGGGCTGTTTTCCGGAAAAGACTACTGGGCTGTCTACACTGGCCCTTTTCCGGAACAGTGTTCCGGAATAAGGACTTATGCCTGAGCGGGAGCAGAATAGTTTTTCCGGAATAGTGGCTGATTTTGTACAGTAGAGCATCGTTGCTTTTCCGGAAATTCAAGGGCCAGTGTAGACAGCTCTCAGCTTATTCCGGAAAAGCGGCTGATTTTCCGGAATAAGTGGCCCAGTGTAGACACAGCCTAAGAGCAGAAGTCACTGGTTTGGCCTGGAGCCAGACCCATTGCAGCCAGCAAGATTGCTGGTGGAAGCGACTGGCAGGTGTCTGGTAGGAGCAGTGGTAGGCAGCTGGCGGGAACGACTGGCAGGAGCAGTGGCAGGCGGGCGGCACCAGCAGACCACAGGAGCAGCACAATGGTGGAATGGCCTTAGGCTCAATGAGTGGAGTTATCAGGGCGATATGTCAGGGTCTGCACTGACTGGACAGAGCTGTAAGTGGAGTGTTTGAAGTGGGCTATGGAGAAAGTTTGGGTAAATGAATGGAACCCTTACATTGTTGGACTAGTGAGCCTGAGGGGCAAAGGACATTGCTCAATCCATTTGAGCCGGGATGGTTACTCGTGGAGGGTTAGGAACTATGTTTGTGGTATTTTTCTGTGCTAATGCCATGTAACTTCTCTCTTTTTCATTAAAAGTTTCTTTTTGACACTCAGACTCTGTGCTTGCGAGTGGGGAAGCATTGCCTCTCAGAGGCACCCAGGAGTGTGTGAATTTCCCAGGATACTGGGTGGGGGCTCGAGCCAGTTCTGTGTGAGATGGATGAAAAGGGATCCCTAGATATTGAATCCAGCCCTGGCTGCTGCTGGCACTACCTGGAAGAAGGGTTACATGTAGATGACCTACCTTGTACAGTAGATTCCCCGCAAGCCATGATGGAGGCACTTTAGAAACATGGCATTTTGTGCTCATGTTCCCTATTCTGTTCCTGACCCGTGAAGAAGTACAAAATTGCATCTTCTAGCAAGTTTCATAAACTCAAAATTTCAGTTAAAATATTAATATTAAATTTTTCATTCTATAAAAATTTTAACATGAACTGTAAAATTTTATGATACAACCACAGAGTATCTCCAACATTTAGATAGTGCTAGTTTGTATATGAGTTACGGCACATCATAACACAAGTTTTTCAGTATATGTGAATCTTTGATGCAGACAAAATGTGTTGTTCTGAGTTTGTTTCTCTTCTATAATGCTTAAGGTAAAGAACCAGTTTCATTTTATTCCCTTAAGGTTATGTTCATAAAGTAACTGTGTGCTCTTGGCAGCAACATTTGCTGTACTATTTTCCTAAAAGTTATAGCCATTCTAGCTACTAACAGTCATGGTCCCTTATAGACAGGGCTCGCCGAGCAGCAGCGAACCCTGCTCACCAGCCACGCAATTCTGTGCTCTGCGCATGCACAGATCGTCTGCGCATGTGCAGATTGCTCTACGCCGACTCTTCCGGGGTGTAATCTACTTACCATGGGTGAGTAGATTACACTATTTGTCAAGCCCTGCTTATAGATGAAGTAATATGAGTTCCAATGTACTGTTTGAAGCACACATTGACAATGAAATGTATGATATGAACACAAGGTGCAATATGAAGTCTCTTGTGTTCTTCTTTCATGGTAGGGGAGGCTCTATATGGATCTACTTACTCCAGTATACCCTGGACATTGCAGACTGCTATCTGTGGGACCAAGGGGTTAAGACAGGGCTACTCAATATGTGACCTGTTTGTCTGCGGCCCATGGTTTCGGTTTATGCGGGGCTCAACACGTGGCCCGTGGGTAGAATCTTTTGAACATGGCCTCCACTGGGAACATGCTCCACAATGTTGAATCAATATAATGGTCTTCTGTTGATATGCGTTTTAGTAGTTAAATTCCTGGACTGTCATTGCCCATTAAAAGTGCTGTCATATGGGTGGAAATCAGGTAAATCTTGCATTTTATTAATATCAGCAGAACTGACTTAAATGGGGCCTATGTGTTGTGTAGTCTTGCCTTAATCTTTATATTCATGCCTATCAGTATGAAAGAAGCTATTTGAATATATATTTGCATGTATATGCAACCACACTTAACTTGCAGCCCTTGGCATGCACTATGATTTGAGTATCATTGTGGCCCCCGGGGCTTCCAAAGTTGAGTAGCCCTGGGCTAAGACAAAGTTCACTGAAGAAGTAACCATGAGAAAGACTCCCCTGCCTCTGGACCAGACCCTGCATGAGAGAAAGGGCCTGGCAGTGTCCAGTCAGGATAAGATTCATTAGATACCTAGATCAAAGACTATATGAAATACAGTGGAGGGTTGATTTACTTTTTCTGCAGAGCTCTTTCTACTGTTGGGGGGGGGGGCGGAGGGGGCATGGCCAGGGAAGGATCTGGTAGAAGCATGTGTGCACGCCTTCAATTTTTAATACACACTACTTATCCTGACTAGAGATCCAGAAATGGCCCATTGGTGTTCTCCTCATGTTATATTACATAAATGCAATACTTATTCAGGTTTGTATTACTCCTCTGACAATGATCTCCCTCCCCCCTCCATGTTGTGCCAGGAAAATCTTAGCACTCTAAAGTTTAAGAATGAGATGTAGATATCTGTCATTTTGGGAGCTGTTTCTAGCTCAGTGGCAGCATTAAATCCAAGCTTCTACATTTAAGTAACATATGTGTCACCAAGCTTACATTAATTACAGATACTGGTAATTCCCTGAGACTAACAGAGAGCAATTTGATGTGAAGGGAAATCATAATTTCATTTTTGGTGCTGTACAGTGCATTTAAATCAATCTAATCACTGTAATCTCTACTGATGTTTCCCTAACTTCTTTAAGAAACAGAAAACAGATACGAATCCCGATCATATGTAGTCTATGCTAATGCACTAGAAAAACTTCAGAATTCCCCTGTTTTCAATTCCTAGAAAGCTATTTTTGCTACAAGACTTTCTTCAAACTTGTCAAGAGGTAGAACTCAGACATGGCCCTTTGTTATAAAAGCAATAAAAGAACTAAGTACAATAGCCAAAGTCTTTGTCTAGCATCATTAAGTCTCAGCCTCAGGTCTCTCATCATATCTCTGTGATACAGAGATGGGCCAAAGAGGCCAGGTTTATATTTTGCAATATTAAGAATGGTTTGGATCCAGGTTCTGTTTTTTTATCAGAAGCACCAAAGGTTTTAGTTGGAGGTGGGAGCCTATCTTTAGATCTCTAATTGTGTTCAAAGCTAGGTGCATCATTAAAAAGTGACTGAAAAATCACATGAAGGGCCTCTGTTAAAAAGACCATATAACCCAATTTTGCCAGGGAGACAAGGTTGGTGAAGTAATATCTGTTAAAGCTTTTGAGTTAGAGAGAGCTTTTTTTAGATTTTACCAGGCCAGTTCCTCTTTTTCTTAGGGTGCCCTGGTTTCCCAAGAACATCAGAAAGTGCTGTTTTCATGTAATGAATTATTAACTTCTCAATCTTTAAAAAACATTGCTGCAGCAAGAAGAACTTGCTCTGTGTTTACCATAAGTCAGCAAGGCACTGGTATAAATGCACCGAGCGTGATGAAGTGTTTGGAGTGCAGAGAAAAGCCAAACGAGTGTAGGCTCTGTCAGAGATGCCCTTTTGCTCACTCTACATCTACACTTCAGGCTTCTTGCTCAATAACTGTTTTACGCAAAAGTTGTTGTGCAAAAGGTCTTTCACAAGAGTGCGTCCACACTGCCATGTGCTTTTGTGGAAGAGCATCCATGGCAGTGTGGATGCTCTCTTGCGCAGGAAAGCTCTGAGAGCCATTTTAGCCATAGGGGTTTCTTGCGTAAGAAACCCCTGTTGTCTGTTTACACTGCCTTCTTGTGGAAGAGCTCTTGTGCAAGAGGGCTTATTCCTTGGGGGAGAGGAATAACTCTTTCAGAAGAAGCCCTGTTTTCCCACGCTGTACTGTAAATTTACTTGCGCAAGAATGCGTGTGGAGTGTAGACACACTGCAAGTTTTTGTGCAAGAACAGCTGTTCTTGTGCAAAAAGCCTGCAGTGTAGATATAGCCAAAGTGAATGTTAACACTGGTTCTGTGCTTCACAATAAATGTATCTAGAAAAAAAAAATCTTCCACTCTGAGAAACATCCAGGTGTTGCTGTTTAGGCTGAAACTGAAACTGGATGATCCAGCAATTTTTAAGTGTGTGTGTTTATCTTCGGTCTGAATAAAAAACATTGCCACAAAAGTGGTTTTTACTTTTTTATTTGAGAAACAGGATCAATTTAGGTTCCATGGGGAGATCTTCAAAGGGCAGTGGGTTCAGAAGGACCCAACTCTTACCTTTTGTGCCTTTGAAAACGTCCCCATATTTATTATCTGTAACTAAGCAGATTCAGTTTGTTTTTTATTTTTTCTTAATTACAAGCTCTGAAATTTCAACCTGCCATCTGGGTATGATGCTGTCTTTTTCCATCAACAATAATGTATGTCATTAGAACACAGCAGTCTCCTTATTGCATAGGTAACCAGCTGGTTGAGCCATGCTGCAGGGCACAGATGGGATACCTGTCTTGCCCAAGATTCATGAGCATGTAGCTGGTTTTCCTTATTATCCATAGACTACATCTAACTTTTACTCTTGTGTGCCAAACCTTCCATCTGGCTGCAAACCCTTTCCACCATTAGGAGAACTACTTAGGACACCAAGAAAGTTAACAGATATTCCAGGGGTATTTTTTCTCCTATTTCACAGGGGTAGACATGTTAGTCTGTTTTAGCAAAACAATGAGGAGTTCTGTGGCATCAGAAAGACTAACACATTTATTTGGACCTTAGTCAGATGCACCTGACAAAGTGGGTTTTTGCCCATAAAAGATTACGTCTAAATAAATGGGTTAGTATTTACAGTGCCACAGGACTGCTTGTTTTTTCTCCTATTGTATTTCTACAATATTTTTTTCACAACACTGTTTTTTTTCCACTGCATGCTAACAAAATACATCTTTAGAAATATGCTAGCTACCTTGGGCTTTTAAAATGATAGATCCCAAAAGACAGACAAATTGAATATGGAAGGATTAGACTATGAGATTTACTTCTGCAGCATTGCATCCAAGCAATTGTCATTTTTCGAGTAGATATGTCAGATTGCATAGAGTTGGCTGAAATTCAAAGTTTCTGTTTTGACATTTCAGGTTTTGAGCAAGACCAAAAATGCACAAAGGGGAGAATTTTATAAAATGTTTGTGTCAATTTAACGGGCTCTTATTAAGTTTCATATAAAACTTAAGAGATCACGCATCCCTCCCTCCCATACTGTGTGCACACAGGTAGAGATGGCCCCATAATGACATTGCCATTTCTTTCCCTTGATGTAGCAGCTGCTTACATCTATGTTGATGCCATCTTAAGGTATTTAAGCGGATCCCTTCTGCTAGATGCTGGCATCAGTAGAAAGGGCTGGGTTCAGTTTTCTAAGATCGTCCTTAAAACCTTAACAACCGGCTTTAGTCGCCTCCCAGAAATCTATGAATCGATATCTATCACCCAGGGTGTGTCATATTATTAATTTAGAGGGAATAAATCAGCCAAAGGTATTAACCAAGTCACTGTCCAACATTTAACAGTGTTAAACAAGGCCCAGAGCCTGGTATACAGAGACCTTGCCTGCTTAATACCAGGGTGAACATATTATCAAATATCCTTTTCTCCTTTTATTAAATGCAAGGAAAAATAGTTAAACAATTTGAAATGTAAAGAATGAAATAAGGCTTTCATTTTAATAGCATCCCTTGTTCCCTTTCCCTTTATCTGGGGAGAATTTTTAGAAGGAAACCTCTCTGGTTTGGCAGTCACTGGGAGGTCTCAAAAAGGGTAATAACTGTTTTTTTGCGGGGGCAGGAAGAGGAGTTAGTTGATATATGCTAGAGCTGCTGCTGTTAAATTCTAATTGTGTTTCATTTTAGGATTGAGCTGGAGCTCATAGGGGTGGTGATGATTCTGGATGCCTGCCTCTGTGCCAGTCTGGTCAGGACATCAGTCTAGGTCATGACAAGGAAGGCCTGGGGTCCCAGGAACCAGTTGGGACAGCAGGTATCATGATGTAACCTCTGCTTGTTCTTTTGTATCCCCTCCCACTCTCAAGTTTTTTCTGTGAGGTTCCCAAAAGGGAGTGATGCGTGGAATAGCCCATTCCTCTCATTACTTCGTCCAAAAATTAGGTATAAGATCCAGACTGGGTTCATTAACTTCTGGACCCATCTTTTCTTGTTTACCAGACATGATCTTAACAGGCTTTTGTGAGTTATATCAGCAGCCCTTTTCGTTTAGATTAATTCAGCCTTCCTGTTCCCTTCATGTACTTTTTCCCACCAGCATATGTTATTATAGGCTATTGTCTTATACTTTTTATAGTTGAGCTCACAATTAGTATAAATTTAGACCCAGTTATCACAAGTGCCCCTAATTGGCAATTCTGCCCTCTTCACAAGCACTGACTTAAGGAATTGAAAACAAAGAGGAGCTAACATTCACACTCAGTAGTAACACCCTTTCTCTTCAGGGCAGCTAGGCCTAATGGCCAAAGTCACTAGTACAACTCCCTTCTTGCCAGTCAACATGGCCTAGCAGCTGGAGTCAATAGTAACAGGAAGGGTAGAGGCCTTCTTGGTGTTAGTGTGTTGGGGTAGGAGGACTCGGACCCACCCTCTCCACCAGGTCCCAGTTTAGGGCCATGGCAATGGTGGCAACATGCCAAGCATCTGGGGTACGACTCCCCTACCCAGGCTACTTCCTACCAGTGTCTCCTATGTAGTCTTCTCCATTTCTTTCCTCCAGCCTGGAGCTTTTGCTGTGGTTCCCTGCTAACTGGCAACAGCATCTAGGTGCACTTGCACTTCTCCTTCAGCACCTCCTTCCTCATCAGTGGCCAGCTGAGACCGAGCTGCTCCACAGGCTTTATTGCTGGTCTCCAGCTGGAGCATGTCCAGCAGGGATGAGGGGGCAAGGTCTTCTCAACCAGGTAGCCAGTGCAGGGTAGGTACACCCCATTACACACCCCAAATCTCACTGAACATGATGTGAGCACTTGACTATGTTAAGCTCACTTGAAAATCATAACCCCTTTTAGGCACAGCATTATTCTGTGAGCCTATTATGCATGCGGAACTACCTAAGAATATGAGAAAGAATCCTGAATCCAAATAGCCGTGAAGGTTGGAGTTAACTCTGGATCTAAACATTATGTGTCAAGATTATGACAGATGGCAACAGGGAAGATAAATAACCATCTATGCAAGCAGTCAAACAAGGCGATTTTGGCTTCAGTTAGGATTCACATTCCATAAACCATAGCATGTACATTTCAAAATGGGGTTTGTTACTCTAACAGTCAGTGCTAGGAAACATCAAACTGCAAAACGCAAAGGCAATGTTTCTTGCTCCTTCTGTCAGTTGCATGTGATCAATGTAAAAACAGCAATGAGCTGAAAAGTCAGAACACAGACCTTCCTTCAGAATAGCTCAAATGTAAGACAAAATAGATCCAGTAATAGTACCAATGTCAGATGTTTATTCAATTGGCCAAGGACTTAAAAGAAATGCATCTAGCATGTCTCGTTATTAATTGTACAACTTTGACAGTTCACTCAAAGAAAATGCAATATTTTTAGATGGCTCCCAGCTGTTAAAGAATTTCTTATTGCTGAATAATCTTATCCATCGATGGAAGAGATTTAGGGATTATACAGTTTCAAATATGTCAGCCATGAGTTCTTTATCTTCTGTATCATCTTTCTACATTTTGCTTCTAAGAAAATTGCACAAATATTTTCAAGATCTAATTAGCTTGTAATATTCTCTCATCAACCAGGGGCCATGGAATTGTTGGGGATGATGAAAGCTTTGTAGAACTGAGATCGTGTGTTGAGTTACACTGTCCTGTGATTACCACACTACTTTTTATAATGTGCCAATATACATTTTACTGTAAAATATTCCCCAGACTCCATTTATAAGTATGGTATGCAGATGCAAAAGGGGAAATAGAAAAGTCCCCTTTGACTAGCAAAGTAAAAAGGGGGTTTAACCCCCCAATATATTACTTAACAATTGAAATGTAATTTAGCTGTGGGTTTGTTACATCACACATTTCTATAAAAGTTGCAGACTTAGGGTATGTAAGTCTACAGAACAAAGTTATTTTGAAATAACAGTTGTTATTTCAAAATAACTTCACCAGCGTCTACACAGCCAAACCGCTATTTAAATTAATTCAAAATAGTGGAGGGCTTATTCTGAAATCGGTAAACCTCATTCCATGAGGAATAGCATTAATTTCAAAATTGCTATTTTGAAATAAGCGCTGTGTAAATGCTTAGTTCGAAATAGGGGGCTTCCAGCCCTTTCCAGGGTGCCCTGGTGGCCACTCTGGGCACAACCAAGAAAACTCCTCTCCCTCTCCCCCACCCCAGAGCCCTTAAAGGGGTAGACTCTGGCCACAGTGCCTTTGCCAGCTCCAAGCCTGTCAGCCCAGAGCCAGCAGTTGCTGCACCTGACCCAGTGACTCCAGCATAAGGGCCGGCCAGCCAGTGCCAGCTAGCCCTCCACTGCTCCCCAGCACCAGTCTGCCAGCTCCCAGGGGCTGGAAAAGGTGGGCGCCTACCTGGTCCAGTGCTGAGATTAGGCACCTAATTACTCCAAACTAAATGAAGGAACACAACTGTCTACAGGCGGATGGTTGCCAGCCTGGCCACCAAAGGCCACATGTAAACTCAGGAGCAGGTTCACATGAAAATAAAGGAGCAGTGGCAGGTGTATGCCAGGGCCACAAGGGGCAACTCCCAGCCAGGGGCAGATCCAGACCCCTGCCCCTATTTTGATGCCATGGACCACATGCTGGGGGGCAGGACGGTCCATGCCTCCCAGGTGGTGATCCAACCTGGGGCAGAGCTTGCTGCCTCCTTCTGCTCCAGCCCCTCCTGCCTCCCCAGCTCCCATCCATGGTGCGGGGAGATATTTGGGCCGGAGAGACCCCCAACCCTGAGCCTTGAGCTTCTCCTCCCCCTTCCTCCACTTGCCTCCCCCTGCCAGCTCCCGCCTCCCCGGTTCCCCCTCCCCTCTCCCACCCTCCCTCCTGCCCTCTCCCACCTTCTTTTCCCAGTCTCATCTCAGATTCATTCCCCCCCTCCCAGTTTTGTTCAGTAAAGAGGCTTTGTTGTAATGAACATGTGTCTTTTATTGTACAGCAGGAAGGGGGGTTAGGGAGGGGTAAGTGGAAGGACGTGAGGGAGGAATGAGGCACAAGCCCCCACTGGGGCACACCAGGGTGCTGCCAGGCTCGCAGCAACACATCCAAGAGAAGCACCAGAGTGCCTGGGGCAGCTCTGGCTCCATGCTGCAGAGTGCTGTGGTGTTCTGAGTGAGGGCAACCAGAGCATACAGAGAAAAAAATGCTTTGCTGTCCTTCAACGAGGTAGGCAAACAAGCAGGGAAACCTTAGAACTGGCTGTCCAGGGGAGTACCTTTGAGCACAAGTTTCAGATACCTTGTGTGGCTGCCTCTGAAGCTAACTCCTGACCGGATGCCCTGCCAGAACCAGTTCCGGCTAGCCTTAAATGCAAATCAGCATCCTATCAGTGTGGACATGCTATTTTGAAGTAGCAAAACGCTATTTCGAAATGCATTTTGTGTCTAGACACGTTATTTTGAAGTAAGCTATTTCAAAATAACTATTTTGAAATAATATATTTTGAAATAACACTGTAGTGTAGACATACCCTATTAGAAACTAAGCTCTAGAATTACTAGTGTATGTTCTATTAAGCCCAAAACCTCTATAACACACAAATAATATACATTAGCTCCTCTGCTTCTGGGTCACCTTCTTTCTGGCCAAGTCAAGTCAATGCAACGACATTCCCTCTCACCTCTCATAGTAACCTTACTTCCCTTTAAGGAGGGCGGTCCTTAGGATTCATGGGGCCGTACTCAGTACTATTAAACTGGTGGCCCTAATGATGATTTTTTAGAAATGTGATTGTATAATCTTCAGCAACACACTAATGAAATATTTAAAAAACAGTAATTAAACTAAGATCTTGTAGACTAAGGGTATGTCTACACTACAAAGAGCCATTAGTTCAAATTAACTTTAATAGGCGCTACACATACAAACCGCTAGTTCAAACTTAATTTGA